AGTATAGTGGCACGATCTCAGCTCACTGCAACCTCCACATCGTGGGTTGAAGTGATTCTCATCCCTCAGCTTCCCAAGTAGCTGGGATTACAGGTGCCCGCCACCATGCCCAGCTAATTTTTTGTATTTTTGGTAGAGACGGGGTTTCACCATGTTGACCAGGATGGTCTCCATCTTCTGATCTCGTGATCTGCCTGCCTCAGCCTCCCAGAGTGCTGGGATTACAGGCGTGAGCCACTGTGCCTGGCCCACTGGCCTTTTCTTTTGCTGTGTCTAGCTTACTGTTATTGCTATCCGGTGACATTTTCATTTCAGGCACTGTTATTTTATTTTATCTTTTTTTGTCATTAGAAGTTTCGTTTGGATCTTTTTAATGTTTTTCAGTTTATCTCCTCATTATGTTTACATTTTCCCTTTCCTGAACATATTTATGATAGCTGTGTTATAGTCTTGATTTACTATTTTATTCTCTCTTGTTTTTTCCTGTTCTGTTTCAATTATCTCTTCAATCATTTCAAGAGAATGATTTTTCTCTTGAATATGGGTCACATTTGCTTGCTTCTTTGAATGTCTAGTAACTTTTAATTGGATGCTGAACCTTATGAAAGTTATATTGTGACTGCTGGATTTTGTTGACCTCTTTAGAGGGTATTGAGTTTTCTTTTGGCAGACAGTTAATTACTTGTGAATTAGCTTAATCTTTTTCAAGGCTTGTTTTTAAGTTTTGTTCATGTACATCTAGAATAGCTTTACTCTAGGGCTGGTTTAACCTTTCTACTAAGGCATGACTCTTGTGGGTTCTCTGCTGATTGTCATGGATGTTCAGCGAGGTTTCTTTATTCTGGATGGTAGGAACTAGAATGTCTTCAAGCCCTTTGTGAGCTCTGGGGATTGTTCTGCTTACAGCTCTTTGGTAATTGTTTTCTCCATGGTAATTTTTCTTTGCCTGACCTTGTGGACTCTCATCCTCAGCATGTTCAGCTTGGTCTTTCTTTAAAGACTCCACGCGTCCTTCAAGTAGATTTCTGGCACTCTTTCTGTGTGTAGCTTCCCAACTGTACTTTGTCTCAGCCTTCACAGAGTTCGAATTCTGTTTCCTTGGCTCAGTGATGTTTTCATGTTCTGCTTGGGTTACCCCACTATGCCACAGTCTAGAATGTGCCTTTAGACAAAAAGCTGTAGAGATTGTAGTGTTCATTTTTATTCCAATTTGTATCTATTTCTAGTCTGATGCCATTCACTTTGTCATGGACAGAAGCAGAAGTCCTCAAGGTCCCTTGATTTTTGCTGGTAGCACTTTCCTGTCTTAGTTCCACCTTCTAGGTTTTGACCACTAGATAGAATTAGGGGTGTGGTTAATTCTGAAGGCTGCACAAGAGAAGGAGAGCCCTGAAGGCTGTGTTAGGTCAGGAGGCGTATTAAGCTTGATCGTTAATGAGTTCAAGGTAAAATGGAGATAGAAGCTAAAATTAGCAAGAGAACTGAAGTCGTAGCATGGGGAGCATTAATTTTGCTGAAGTGGTAAGGTGAGTGAGTGCATAATTATGAAAATGAGTATAGGTTACTGCTTAAAGTTTCTGACTAGTGCTATTGAAAGAGTAGAAAAAGGCATTTCATTTAATTTCAGCTTGCATTTATCAAATGCTTATTATTTGCCAGACACTGTTCTAGACATGGGGAATATAAAAACATTTTTTTAAAACCTTTGGGAAACTCATTTCCTAATTGGATAAATAGATACATAATGTTAATAATGTGATTTTGTAGTAGATTTTGTAGAAGATGATGATGGCTTTATTTTCTATTGTTACTGAGTTTAGCATGCCATCCAACATGATGCCATGGTAGTACAGGGTATTAAGAGGGATTTCATTTGCTAACTTGTTGACAAAATGATGCTTGAATTGAGACTAGATAGATTAGTAAGCATTAGGCAAATAAAAGTGTGCTTGGCATTTCATGCATAAGGAATTGTGAGAGCAGAGACATGTAAGTATGAAATAATATGAATGTGAGGATGTGTGTATGTATGTAAATATCACTATAAGCAATTTGATAGTACTAAATTATAAAACAAGAGGAGGGGGTGAATGGAGATGAAACTGTAAGAATTGATAGGGCCTTGCAAAACAAGAGCTTTGACTTTATTCAGTAGGGAATGTATCATCTAATTAGGTTCAGCTGCATTTATTAGAAAATCTCAGAATAGCCGTTGATTATACAATATAGAAGTTCATTTTTCTCTTGTTGGAAATAAGTCAGGTAGAAAGTCTAGGGCTAGTATGGTCTTCTGGAACCCAGGCTTCTGTTGTCTTGCTTTTCCATCATCCTTACAATATTGCCTCTTAGTTCAGATAACAGGAAAGAGGATGCTCTTTTTTTCTTAACTTGACTTCCAGAAAGTCCCATAAAATACTTTTGTTTACATCTAAATGGACACTTGATCATAAGGCTTCACTTTCTAGCATGGGAAGTATATTACTTCTCCAAATAAAATGAGATTCTGTTGGTAGGAAAGAAGAGGAATAACTAGCAGTCTTTGTGCTGGAAAACCCTAGAAGAGAAGTATAGTGGTCAGATGTTCCCTTTATATTACTCCAAATGTATTTGGGGTGAGGGGTTGGAGAAAGAAGGGGAGCAGGAAAGACTAAAGTCCAGAAGTCTAATTTGGTCTCCTGGAATCAATTGTCTAAATGAGAGATAAGATCTGATCTAGGGCTGCTACTTTGAGGATCAAAGAAGAGAATATTGGTTTGGTATTTTGGTTGCAGGTAACAGAAACTAAATTTAAACTGGCTTTTGCAAAAAGGAGGGTTTATTATTAGAGTACAAAATTCTCATAGGGCATATAGATGCAGCTAGGCTTCAGAGAATAGCTGGAATTAGAATTGTGAATGGTTTTTGCAATTTTCTTGCCATTTTTCATTTCCCCTACCCTGAGTTGTAGTTTAAAAAAATTTTTTTGCTGATTTCTATTTCTCATGACAGAAATGGCCTCTTCCAGTGCCTTTCCAGTTCTTAGTTTTAGATAAGCCCATTCAGACCTGATTTCAGATTCCTGAGGAATGACTCAGGTTGATATGAATCGGGTCGGGTGCCTACCTTTGAACTAATCAGTAGTGGCCAGGAATAGAGGTAGGCTTCTGTGGTAATCATGTATTCACTGTATAGTATATTTGATAAATATTTTAGAAATGAAAATGGTAGGCTTGAATGTGTGAGGTAACATGATCCTGAGTTTCTGACTTGGTTAAGTGGGTGGTTGTTCCAGATAACTCAGTTCAATAATATACAAGGAGGAGTAGATTTTGTAGAGGAAGATGATGGCTTTATTTTCTATTCTTAGCATGCCTTCCAACTACAGTAGATAATTAGTCAGTGAAACTTTGGTTAGACAAATTTGAAAGATACCAGCACAATTGATTGTAGTTCAGGCCATCAGAATGGATTTAACGACCCAAAGGGAATATTTAGAGATTAAAAAATCTCATGGGCAAAGAATGGAACCCCAAATAACATGGATATTTAAGGGCTGAGCAAAGGAGGAAGAGTTCATGAAGGAAATGGAGAAGAAACAAAGAGTGGGAGAGCTGAGAGGTGTCATGGAAGTCAGGAAAGTGGTCATCAACAGAGTTGTGTTGAGCAGAGAGGTCTAGAGAGCTGAAGACTGAAATGTTTTGTTGAATTTGGCACTGTGGAAGCCATTGGTGAGTTTGGAGATGTTTCAGTAGATTAATGGGGACAGTAGATATATTGTATGGTTTTGAGAAAATGTATGACAATGAGAGTGTGAAGGCAGTGCATGTAGACTACTCTTTCAAGAAATTCGTCTTAGAATGGAAGCTGGAAGATTAATTCTTGCTAGAGGAGGAATATATAGGGTCAAGGAAGGTCCCTCTTCCCTCCTTAAAAAAAAAAAAAAAAAGGATGGGAAATGCTTGAGCATATTTCTAGGCCATTAGGGATCTTTGGTTGATGCTGTGAGAGGAGAAGATAATGGATGGAGCAAGGTCCTGGAGGAACAGAAAGAGTTGATATCAAAATCTTTAGAGCAGGATCTGCCTTAAATGGGAGGAGTTAACCGGAAATAAGGATAGGCACAGCCATAAATGTGTTGGGGGTGAGTAGGAAGATAAGGTGGCCCCAGTTTTCTTGATGAGGTAAGAGAAGACATCATTTGCTGAGAATATGGGAATTGGTATAAAGCTCCAGGAGGGTGTTGAAGAAGATAATGTTATCTGCAGTTTTAGATCAAGGGAAATCTCAGAATGTGAAACTTAGGGGCAAACAGCAAACTCATTTACCTGGGTGTTGTTTCCCCTGTTCTAGTGAAGCAGAGATGTGAGTAACTATTTGATGTTGGTAGTCTCTGAAGCTTTGTGCTGAAGTGTGTTCTCTACTTGGCAGTTCCCATTTTTGGTTTTTTTTTTTTTTTTTGCCTTCTCTTGGCTTGATAATAAATGGAGAAGAAAATAAAAATAATTTGGTTGTGTTTTGTGGGTTTAACTCAAACTAGTGGGTTTATATACTTTTTTTCCTTTAAAATTTCTTTCTTTTTTTTTTTTTTTTTTTGAGACGGAGTCTCTGTGGCCCAGGCTGGAGTGCAGTGGCACGATCTCAGCTCACTGCAACCTCCGTCTCCTGGGTTCAGGTGATTCTCCTGCCTCAGCCTCCTGAGTATCTGGGATTACAGGCGTGCGCCACCATGCTTGGCTAACTTTTTTGTATTTTTAGTAGAGATGGGTTTCACCATGTTGGCCGGGCTGGTCTTGTACTCCTGACCTCAAGCAATACGCCTGCCTCAGCCTTTCAAAGTGCTGAGATAACAGGTGTGAGCCACCGCACCTGACTCTTTAAAATTTCAATGTCATTTTGTAAAGGGGAAATACAGTGTAAGAATTTTTTTCTAGGATGTTGAATTTCTACCACTTAACAGCACAGAATTTTTATATCAAAGTATGCAAATTTGAGATTTTCACTTACATGCTAAATGTTCTTAGAGCTCTGAAGATGAGTGGGTTGAGGCTGTTCCATCCCAGACTCCTGACAAGGAAAGGGCCTGGAAAGTGAAAGATGAAAAGTCAGAAAAAGATGACACCCAAATTATCAAGGTAAGCAAGCCACTTGATTCCCTTTCCCTTTTCCTTTTCCCTTTCCCTTTTCCGCTTTGCTTTCCTTTGCTTTCCTTTCCTTTCCTTTCCTTTTTCCTTTCCTCTTTCCTTAACTTTCCCTTTTCCTTAACTTTCCTCTTTCCTTAACTTTCCTTCCCTCTCCCTCTCTCCCTCTCTCCCTCTCTCCCTCTCTCCCTCTTTCCCTGTCTCCCTGTTTCCCTGTCTCCCTCTCTCCCTTCCTATTTTAGAGACAGGGTCTCACTCTGTTGCCCAGGCTGGGCTGCAGTGGCACAATCAGAGCTCTCTGCAACCTCAACCTCCCAGGCTCAAGTAATCCTCCCACCTTGACCTCCCTGGTAGCTGGGTCCACAAGTGTGTGCCACCGTCCCTGACTAATTTTTTATTTTGTGTAGAGATGGGGTCTCCCTTTGTTCCTAGACTGGTCTCGAACTCCTGAGCTCAAGCAGTCCTCCCACCTCAGCCTCCCAAAGTGCTAGCATTAGAGATGTGAGCCACCACACCTAGCATACCACTTGATTTTAAAGAAAGAAGTATCAACTTTTGAGAATAAATGAATATGAAAATGAAAGATGATTAAAATTTCTTCAGGAGAACAATTAGATTTTGAAAACAATATACTTTATGAATAATTTTGGCAGTAATGCTGTTTGCTGAATGTTTAGAACCCCCTTTCCCTTCTGCTGTGAGAAAGTCAGTGCTTCTCTCTATTCTTGTACTTTAGAGTCTTTCATGCTTTTGATTGTTGATAAGAAGTGGCACTTTCCCCTTATATCTCTGAAGCCTTATACTGTTATCTCTGTCTGACCCTTCCATAGTGAGTAGAGTTCCATCACAGTTTTTCTTTCCCTTCACCTCATGCCTTAATTTTCTTAACAATACTTAACAGTTGAATAGTTCACAAATTTTAGGTTGTAGTTCATCTGCCTAAGGAAGAATGTAATTTGTCCACTGTTAGCTACAGGTGAAGGAAGAAAGGTGAACAGGAACTAAGTTTGATTGCTGTGTGCCAGGCCTTGGTTGGATGCTTTAGATCTGTTATCTGGTTTACTCTTTAAAACAATCCTGAAAGGTAGGGATTTTATACCTTTTTATAGAGGCGAGACTAAAGTATAGAGAGATTAAGAAACTTGCTTCAAGTTATATAGGCATGTAGGACTTGATTCAGATTTGATTGCCTCCAAAATCCCTGCCCTTATTACCAAGTGTTTATTAAATTCTAATCAGTTTGGATTGAAATGGCTGCCTTTTTTTTTTAAACAGAGGGATGAGTGGATGACTGTTGATTTTATGTGTGTTAAAACTGTGTCGTCATCATCACTCAAAGCTGAAAAGGAAACTATGAGGAAAATAGAGCAAGAGAAAACCCAAGCACTTAAACAGGTAAGAGAATATTTGAAATGCTTTAACTTTCTAATTTCCCTTTAATAAACTTATAAGACATTTATATAAATGCAGTTTAACTTGTAAAATAATATTTTATTTTTTATAGTATTTAATACAATTAGTGAGAAGAACTATGAAATATATCAATTTAAGAAAAATAAATTTCCTATAGGAAGTGAGTTTCAAGGTTTACTAGATTTATACATCTAGGGCATATATAAAGTTGAGTGAACATTGAATTTAGGTTAATATCATTAAATTGAAAGTGAACTTACTCAACTTTTGTTTCAGTGTACATACTGAATTAGATACCATAAAAATACTTCCATTTCAAGACATCTGGAAGTTCTGGTGGATAAAGTGTAAAATAAGCATGCTTATTTTATACTTTTTGGTTGTCACCTTGCTTGTAAGGAAGCAATAGGAAATCTGTAGAGACCAAAAAATGAGGCAAAAGCATGAATCCAGAGAAGTAAGGAAGTGCCGAAGCTGATGACTTTCCCAGGTGCATCACACAATCCTGGTAATCTGGAATCCAGTTTATACTGTAGCGGGAGCATATGTTTCTTTTCTGATACTCAATATCTGTAATTGTCAAACTTTATTTTTTTATCAGCCTAGTAAAATGGGCAAGAAATGGTATTTCATTGTTTTTGAATGCATTTATCTGATTGCTATCAGAGAGGTCTTTTCATGTTTTTTGGTCATTCAGATTTCTTATACTATGAGCTGCTCATTTATGTTTTTTGCTTACTTTTCAACTAGGGTTGTTTGTCTTTTTCTAACTGATTTATAGAAGTTCTTTATGTTTTAAATCCTTTATCTTTTGTACATTTTCAGATAGTATCTCATAATTTGTTTAGCCTCTTGTCAATTGTCCTCCTCAGTATGCAATTCTAGCCTTTTTTGTCCTGTTGAGTATCTTATGTGTATGTTTTTGAGAGTCTTAAGACCATTGGAAGAATCCTTGACTATAGATATTGAAAGATTTTGTGGTAAACTAACAAGGGAGGTGACAGAACCCTTTTTGATACAAACTAAGAAATCAAATCCTTATGGTTTTGCATATCCCTTTAGGTTAACCTTTAACTTAAATTTTGTCCTTTGAAGCTTCTTTACTTTTTCGTCAGCTCATGGATACATTTAAAAAAGCCCTTTTAAAAACAAATTTTACACAGCATTTTAATTTTCAGTAGTATATTGTATTCCTGGAAGCTAAAGTTCCTGACATTTAGCTCGCTCCATTTCTTGCCATCCTCTTGCCATTATTACTTCTTGTAGGAAGGATTTTCTAACCCCCTACTCCCCAGGGTCAACTTAGGTATCATTAGTATGTAGTTCTTTAGCACCCTTTACGTTGATCTCACTTACCTATATTTATGTTGCTTGATTGTCTTTCCCCTTTCTCTAGACCATAATTTATTTAATGGCAAGGACCATGGCCACCTTACACATTACAGTCCCAGTGCCTGGCATTGTGCTTAGAACACAGGAGGCACTTGCATTGTGATTAGGCTACTATCATCTCTTGCCTGGATTACTGCCACAACCTTCTGACTGGACTTGTGCCTCTAATCTTGTTCTCCAGACTTTCCTGCATGCTGAGAGCCCAGTTTGCTGTTTTTGATATAAAGCTGATCACGTTCATGAATCTCTTTTGGCCCCAGCATGAAACCCTCACAGCAGTTCAGAATGGCTCACATGGCCCAGTCCCTGATTGTTCTGCAACGTAATCTCTTGTCATTAGTGACAGTTCTAAGTTTTAGCCAGTTAGAATTACTTTAAGTTTGCTGAAAGTGCTGCACTTTCTCTGTTGTTTTAAGAACATGCTGCTATTCTTTCTACCTGAAACATCTTTATGTTCCCTCCCCCCACAAAAAAAGAAAATGCAGTTAATTTCTGCTCATCCTTAGGCCTGAGACTGCACATATTACTTCCTATAGGAAGTTTTTGATCCTTCAGTGTGAGAGGGATTTGAATTCTTTGTGCATCCTCAGTACTGTATATTTCTGTCTTCAAAGCACATGTCTGTTTTTATTGCCTGTATTCCATACTATAGTAAAAGCTAGCAAGGGCTGACCAGGATTTTTGACAGTTAAATCTTCTACAACTAGCACAATTTTGAGATACAGTAGGCAGTAAATAAAAACATTGAATGAATGTGAATTTAGACATTTCCTGTAAATTACAGAACAGCATGTCTTAAGAATGTTTTAAATGATTTGTCCAGAGTTATGACTATTAACTGGGTCTCAGATTCATTATTTGTTAATTTTTAATAATTTGTTAATTTTTTGAAATTTCACCTCTGAAAATAATTTGTTCTAGTCCAAACTGATGGAAAGAGAATTGAATCCGTACTGGAAGGATGGTGGGACAGGTCTTCCACCCGAAGACTGTGGTGTGTCGTCGATTACTAAAGGTATTTCTACATTTTGATTATAGACACGCAGGGTTTTTTTTTTTTTTTGAGACAGAATCTCGCTCTGTCACCCAGGGAATACAGTGGCACAGTCACGGCTCACTGCAGCCTCCACCTCCCACTCAAGTGATCCTCCCACCTCAGCCTCCCAAGTAGCTGGGACTACAGGTGCACGTCACCACTCCCAGATAATTTTTTGTATTTTTTGTAGAGATGGGGTTTCACCATGTTGCCCAGACTAGTCTTGAACTCCTGGACTTAAGCGTTGACCTAACTGCCTTGGCCTCCCAAAGTGCAAGGATTACAGGCGTGAGCTACCGCACCCGGCCTCAGGCATTTCTTTGATATTATAATGAGTTTACATATGAGAAAGCATTGATAAAAATTTGCAGTCTTTGGAAGCCTAATTTAAATTATTCGTACTTTGGAAGATTGTCTTAATTATGTATTTGGGAGCAAGTTAATTAAATACATAGTTTTGTGCTTGAAAATATTCTCATATATGAGTTTCTACTTAAAATGGATTAATATAAAGTATGATTCTGTGAGTACATAATAATGCATTTGGTTTGTTATATTCTATAACAAAATGTAAAAGTATTGTCTGAAATTTCATGAAAATAATGTATAAAAACCAAAGATGTGGTTTATATATTCAGAATTTCCTACTTTTCTAGAATTCTTAAAATTTGTATTGACCTTAGGAGAGTGCTATTATTTTCCAGCAGATGGAGACAAAATATTTAAATGTCACATAAGCATACTTGATAACAAAATTTTAAAAATACTTATATTCCCATTAAGTGTTGTGTTGACACTTCAAAAGTTTATTACAATTAATCCAGCATACAGATGGTAGTATTATAAATTATGATGTTCTCTTTTTGTCTTAATGATTTATCAGTAGGATGTTTTCCTGCTTTTTATACATAGTGGATTTTTATTTTGGTTATTTGTTAAAATTCTTCTGTATTTTATGTAGAGATGACAAGTAGAGTCACCTCACACGTCCCTTCTTAATTTAGCAATTTTACTAACGTTATTGGTAATAGTTAACAGTTTTTTTGTCTTTCAACTTCAGACAGAAGTGTCCCTGCTGAGTTATGTGATAGTAACTGTAGTCATACAAGGTTCTCTTTGAAATACTGTTTCATAGAAACTTAAAAGTTTGGGGAGTGATAAGTTAGCTCACTCAACCATGACTATGTAGGGCTGTTTTTATGATCTAGGCTTTTACCATCCCTAATGTCAGAGGACAGTCAATAAATTTCTTTGGGGAAAACCTAGAATTGACAAACCCAATCTTTGGATCTTGCCAGTTGACAGATTCTTTACTGAGTGGAGAAGATCCGGAATTTTACTTTAGGTGGTATCTTTTAGCAGACTGAAACAGCAGAATCAAAGATTCTAGGAGAAAATGACCTTACATAAAGCTTTTAGAGAGCCCTTCTCCCTTCCTCTTCATATCATGCTTTTACCACTTCTCTTTCCCATCTTATGTTTATTCAGAAGGAGAAAAAATGACAGAAAGCTTCTCTCTGTCAGAGGCTAAGATCCCAGAGTTGAAATTAAGTTTTAAAAAATGATTGACAGGTTTTACTGCATATGTAGATAGTGTTGTCAGTCTATGTAGACCAATGGTAGGAGTGGAACTGTTAGGCATCTAAAAGTATTACAATATCTGTATTAAGAAGGTGGAGGTGACATAGTGTTATTGTTAAAGGACTAGACTTTGGAGTCAGTGTACTTGGAATTAGAATGTTGGCATTTCCACTAATTAGCCTCATAATTTTGGCGACATTTTCTGGCCTCTCAGAGCCCGATTTATTAATATGTAATAGGGAATAATGATATTACCTATCTTATATAGTTAATGTGAAGATTAAATTAGAAAATGTTTTAGCACGGTGTCTGGAATATGGTGACTACTCAATAATGATGATAATGTCAAATACTTTTATGATTAAATCTTTTGGGAAGGCTTTATCAACAGGTTTTTGTAATGATTGAAGTGACATATTTTCAATAATTAATGTGTTAATCTTGATTTTTTTTCTTAGAATTCAGTGGAAAAGTAGGTTAATCATTTTCAGAGCCCATACAAAATTATTTTAAGTCATATTTTAGTAATGGGAATATTTGTACAATTTTAGAGTTTATATGGCACAGTTATATATCAGCTTTTTTCTTGGCAGCCATGTAAAGGAGAGCAGTGTAGATGTTATTTTAATATTATAGCTCAATAAACCAAGGCTTAGAGTGACTAGGTAATTTTTCCTGTAGTCATGTTAGTACTAGAACCTAGGTCTTCTGATTGCTAGTCTAGCATTGGTTACTCTAGATTCTTTAGTGGAAGACTATTTTTATTACCATGTAGTTAGTAGGAATTCTTGCTTACAGACTCCTTCGATGTAATTTTGTTCTTCCTATTGATTTCTTCCCCCTCTTTATTTTTTGGCTTTTTCTGCTAGAATCTGAGTTGAAAAGACTTTGAAAGGTGGTTTAAATCGGCTGCCTTATCTTAGAGATGAGGGAGCAAAGGTCCAGAGAAGTTAATGGCATACATAAGATTTTACAAATATTTAATAGTAGCAGCAAGACTAAAATCTAGGTTTCCTGTTAGTTAGTTTATCACTATTTTTATGTTAATCTGGTTTCTGAGAGAATTGGGGAATATAGCCCAGATTCATTTGGTTGTATTAATATTTTGTCTGTAACAGTATAACTTTGAGTTATGATGGAAGCATATGATGGAAGTTTCTTAATTTTTTTTTTACTTATAAATAACAGATTTGAAATCTAGGTGTAAAGTGCCACATATCAGTGAATTTATATAATTATTTGATATATATTTTTCTCAGCGTAGAGGACCTGAACCATGTTACATTCATGTTTGTACTTCCTATTATACATTCATGTGTGTGTTTTTTTTCTTGTTTTGGGAGCGGGGGCATGTGGAGTCTCGCTCTCTCACCAGGCTGGAGTGCAGTGGCGCGATCTCGGCTCACTGCAACCTCCGCCTCCTGGGTACAAGCGATTCTCCTGCCTCAGCCTCCCGAGTAGCGGGGATTACAGGCGCACGCCACCACGCCCAGCTCATTTTTGTATTTTTAGTAGAGACGCGGTTTCACCATGTTGACCAGGCTGGCCTTGATCTCTTGACCTGATCCACCCACCTTGGCCTCCCAAAGTGCTGGGATTACAGGTGTGAGCCACTGCACCCGGCCTTGTACATTCTTGTTTGTATTTCCTATTGTAGGAGGGTTTTTATATTCATAATAAATATTCACTAAATTTTTTTAATTGAATTTCGGGATGGTACTGCAAGTTGGTATTTTTTGTTCCCTTTTTAAATATTAAATTTGGTGATTTTTTTCTTACCAAAAGACTTCATTATTGCCATCTCTGATTATAAGATTGATAGGACTATTGAAATAGAACATATTGTCAACTGAAGGTGAAGTTATTATATAAATATTACTAAAATTGTATGGCTTTAACTAGTGAAGGAATTGGCTGAAAATTTGTACTGCCATTGGATTTCCTTCATAAATGTCAACATAGAGGAATAAAAACAGTCTTACTTTTTTCTCTGATTTTTTTTTCTCTGTACTATTATATTTTGGTGATTGTTCAGGAAATTTTTACTATGTCCATCAGCATTTTATCAGTTTCACATATAATTCTATGGAATAAACAATTTAGTTATGTAGCTGAGACATTCATATAGGTATTTATTACTGTGGATTTCTTTTACTAATCACTGTGTAGATTGCAGATTTAGACTAACTTCTTCAAGTGGTTACATAGTTATTTTTGAACTCATCAACTATATAAATAGCAACAAAAAAGCAAGAGTAAAATAAGCTTTTGAATAAAAAGTGAAAATCGTTGCATTAGTTAGAGATCTAGGTTTTGAAGTACAAAATATTTTAGGCCTATAAAGAAAAGTCATATTAGGAGAGATTGCTTAGTAAAGATAAACTTTTGAGATCTGAATGGGGGAATGGAATTAATTTGAATGCAATTAATTTGAGTCTTGAAAAATCTGTTTTTTCTTTAAGTAAACATTTATTGAAATGTGACATATATATAAAAACATTCAAAAATATTTAGTGAATATTTACTATGAATAGAAAAACCTTCCTGCAATATATGTAAAAACCATCCTACAATTATATGTAATATATTACATATATGTTATATGTGTACATAAATATACAAACCATAAGTGTATAGCAGCAGACTGATTATTTTCATAAAATGAAAACATTTGTGTACTCAGCACACAGTTTGAAAAATCTTGTTAGCATCCCAGAAACCCCCTTTGTGACTCTTCTGGTCACTACCTTGCCACCAGAAGGGTAACCATTATTCTGTTTTCTAGCACCAGAAATCAGTTTGTCCTTCTTTGTTTCCAGCACCTTTTGCCCACATTTTGAGATTCATCCATATTGTTGTATATAGTTGTAGTGTTTCCATTATTTTTGCTGTATAATATTAAATAGTATATTTTAGAAATATGTCACAATGTGGGTGTCCTGTGTACTGATGGTAGACATTTCCTGGGTTGTTTCCAGGCTGGGATTATTGCAGTGTTCTGCTATGAATATTCTTGTATATGTCTTGGGGTTAATGTGTGTGCATTTTTGTTGGTTATAGAGCTGGGGTGATCTTAAAAGCAGTCGTGTTCTGGGGCAAGGAAAATCAGCAACAGAATTTTTATTTAAGTAATTGATTTGATTTCCTCTTTACACTATCCAAAGTGTGATATGTAAAGAAGAAAATAAAGCCAGCTTAATAAATTTGTTGAAGGCCTTCAAATGTTCATGGTTGGTAATTATGACTAAAGTAAAATAATTTGTTTTAACATCCACTTTGGCATTATCTTCCATAGCTTCCTTATTTGTTCTTTGTTCTGCAGCTGAGGTAGCTTTTTTTCTTCTCCCTTTCTCTGTGTGTCCTTTGTTTTTTGAGATGAAGTCTAGCTCTATCACCCAGGCTGGAGTGCAGTTGCACGATCTTGGCTCACTGCAAGCTCTGCCTCCCGTGTTCATGCCATTCTCCCGTCTCAGCCTCTCGAGTAGCTGGGACTACAGGCGCCCGCCACCATGCCTGGCTAATTTTTTTGTATTTTTAGTAGAGACGGGGTTTCAGCGTGTTAGGCAGGATGGTCTCAATCTCCTGACCTCGTGATCCGCCTGCCTCCGCCTCCCAAAGTGCTGGGATTACAGACGTGAGCCACCACGCCCTGTCCCTGTGTGTGTCCTTTTATTCCTTAATTATTTCTTGGAATGTTCTCTCTACTCTTACCTTTTTGAAATAGAAACCCAACTCATTTTTTTGAGCCCGGTTTGTGAAATTTTCCCTGACCTCCACTTAGAAATAAACCTTTACTTTTTTCATTTTCTAAAACCCGTTATATCTTTTTATAATAGCGGTCACATTATTTTTATTGTAATTAATTATGTCCTTTTATTCTTATTCTCTTAGATTGCAGTTTTCTTATAGATAGTTTTATTTATCTTTTCCTTCTTCCTAGTGGCAAAACTCTGTGACTTACATATATAGGCACTCAAATATATATATGTTGAGTTCCAAATGCACTTACATATTTAAAGAAAAATATTTATTTTTGCATTTTAGGAGTCGTTATAGAAGCAATACATATTAATTATATGATAACCACATTAAAAGTATAACTAATATTTAGTATTGGAATTTAGTTTCAGTGGTAGAAGATGGTGGATTAAGCTGGCTAAGGAAGTCTTATCTAAGAATGAAGGAACAAGCTGAGAGACAAAATAGAAACTTTGAGGACATTGTAGCCGAAAGATATGGGGTGAGTATCTGTATTAAGGAGATGCCTCTTATTTTCAGAATTAGGTGAAAAATTAAGTGCCTTTAACTTTGTTTTGTGCCATGAAGAATTGAATTAATATTAAATTTCATGTCTTTATACTAAAGTAATTTTCTGTTTTTCGTTATTATTAAACATGTGTCATATTTTTATTGACATAATGAATGTAAAACTTAAGTATATAAAACTTAAATGTGGGTGTATTTAATGTAAAAATAACATTTTCTCATTGTGAGAAAATTTAAACAATGCTGGAAATCTGCATGGTACACTTCTGGAGGTAACCACCATTGAAAGTTTTGTATATTCCAGAGTTAGGTGTATTCTACAGTTTGGGTACTTTATGGAATTTTTTTAAAGAGTGTATATATACTCTTAGTGAAACTGTGCAACAGTATATATTTTAGAAACAGTTTCCCCATTTTTCTGGACAATCTTTCTATTGCAATAATTATTGATGTTCTTTCTTTTTTTCTCTTCAATTGCCGGAGGAAAGCAGGTTTAGAAAGTAGTAAGATTTCTGGAATATATTTTTCCAGATATTTTCCCCAGAGTTTTATTTATTTATTTTATTTTATTTATTTATTTTTTTTGAGAGGGAGTCTCGCTCTGTCGCCCAGGCTGGAGTGCAGTGGCCGGATCTCAGTTCACTGCAAGCTCCGCCTCCCGGGTTCACGCCATTCTCCTGCCTCAGCCTCCCGAGTAGCTGGGACTACAGGCGCCCGCCACCTCGCCCAGCTAGTTTTTTTGTATTTTTTAGTAGAGACAGTGTTTCACTGTGTTAGCCAGGATTGTCTCGATCTCCTGACCTCGTGATCTGCCCGTCTGGGCCTCCCGGAGTGCTGGGATTACGGGCTTGAGCCACCACGCCCGGCCTCCCCGAGTTTTAAAGTAGACTCATGGAATATGCCCTGGCTTTTTAAACTTAATAATGTACACATAGTTGGTTGCCAGTAAATACAGACATTTTAATGACCTCTTAATATTTTCTTATGTATTTACAGGCTTTTCCTTTATCTATCAGTTTGTCAGTAGATGGACATTTATATGCTTTCCCTTTCCCCTGTTAAATAGCGCTGTGCTATGTCCAATGCATTTTGCATATTTTTCTTGGTGAATTACCAAAAATGACATTGCCTGTTTAAAGGATATAGACATTTAAACCAAGGTACATATTCCCAGATTTCTCTACAGAAAGAATGAACAAATTATACTTATAAATATCTGTTTATCACATAATTTTCAACAGTAAGATTCTTCCTTTTAGTTTATGCTGTTGTGATTGGCAAAGTTTTTAAGTTTTGCTTTTGTTTTTATACATTTGTTTACTGGTGAATTGGAATTTTTTTTCCTTTTCTTTCTTTTTTTTTTTTTTTTGAGATGGAGTCTCACTCTGTTGCCCAGGCTGGAGTGCGGTGGCCCGATCTCAGCTCACTGCAACCTCCACCTCCTGGGTTCAAGCGATTCTCCTGCCTCAGCCTCCCAAGTAACTGGGACTACAGGAGCATGCCACCATGACTGGCTAATTTTTGTATTTTTAGCTTTTAGTAGAGGTTGTGTTTCACCATATTGGTCAGGTTGGTCTTGAACTCCTGACCTCGAGATCTGCCCGCCTCGGCCTCCCACACTTCTGGGATTACAGGCATGAGCCATTGCTCCCGGTCGAATTGGAATTTTTTTTTACATTTATTTTGGCCATTTGTACTTTTTAGTGAATTGACTATTGATATTATTTGCCCATTTTTATTTTGGGATAATGATTTAAGACTTTTTAATAAATCTGTTCGGATTTCTCCCCCTCAATTTCATGTTTGTTTTTTACTTTATTGGTAATTTGCTATGGATAAATTTTGAATATTTTTACCTATCAAAATCCCTCATATTATTTTTTCATGAATTAATACTCTTGGTATAATTCATTGACAGGCCTTCCCCACTCTACAATCGTAAAAATGTGCAGCTGTACTTACTTGAGTACTTGTTCAGTTTTATTTTTTATGTTTTATCTTTAATTTTTCTGAAATATGTATTTGTGTATGATATGAAATAGGCATCAAACTTTTTATAAGTCTTATATAGTTGTTTACTATATATTGAATGAATTTTTTTCTCACTAATTTGAAATGACACATTTGTTATACATTAAATTTTCTTATATACATGGGTCTGTTCCTTTACTCTCAAGTCTGTTTCATTGATTTTTCTATCTTTTCCTGGAATTTGTATCATACTGTTCTAATTATTGTGGTTTTCAGTAAATTATTCAGATAGCAAATAATATACACCTACTATGTGGTAGTCACTATGTGACTAATAAGTCTCTTATTGGTCACTAAAATATTAGCTTTGCTTTCCTATGTGTTTATTTTTCTTAGTAAATTTAGTTTAAGCTCTACAGAAATTAACATTTTTCCAAAATTTGTTACAAATTTACAACTTTTTGGAATTTTGATTTAAATTTAACTAAATGTATAGATAAATTAAGGACAACTAGTATCTTTATAATATAGAGTCATCTCATCCCAAAACACTGAGTATTTGTTTATGCTCTTCAGTATTTTTCTCTGTGCATTTATTATGCATATGCCATTGAGGTTAATTGAATTTTAAAAACGTTTTCTGACTTGGTGTTGGTGCTGTTCAGCCCTTCTTTTAAACTTTTATTATTCTAATTTTTAAAATTTTGGGTTATGTGGGAAGGTAGTTATATGCAAATAATTATTTTGCTTTTTTCCTCTCTGTTAATATTTAAACTTTCTTTTCTTGAAATAGTTATAATTTTAGAACTTTGGTAACAGGATTGGAAGCCAGTATTCTTGTCTTTTTGTCTTTAAATAATGACTTTTGCATTTAAGATTAAGAGTATCATGTTTAAGTATCCTTGTATTCAAAATTGAGTAAAAGGTGCTTGTTTTTTTAATTTTTATTGTTTTAATTTATGTTGTATATGTTTAAGGTATGTATTCCATGATGTTTTGATATACATAGGGAAATAATTACTAGAATTAAGCAAATTGGTGTATCATTTATCTCACATAGTTATTCTCCTTTTTTGTGTGTGGTAAAAGTACCTAAAATCTACTCTTTTAGCAAATTTTTGGTATATAATGTGATATTATTAACTGTAGTCCTCATGGTGTACATCATATCTCTGGACTTAGTTATCCTAAATAATGGAAACTTCTCACTCTTTGACCTCCATCTTCCCATCCCCTCTCCTTCCAGTAACTACCTTCCTACTTTCTGTTTCTATGTATGATGCATCTTTTCCTTGAAAATTGTTTTAAAGTTTGCAACTACAAGAACAATTATTTAAACTTGACCAGTGCATTTGCCATTTGGTTTTTAGCATCTGTTCTTTTTTTCAGAGATCTTTGCCCTAATTCATTTATGGTGTGACTTAATCATCTTGAGTAATTTTTTCCCTCAGAATTGCTAGTGATATGCCCCCTGATTCCCTGCATTTTTGAAGATGATTTTCTTTTGCCCATACCAAAGAAGGATAATTTGACTGTGAATTGAATTCTCTATATAGAATTATAGCTTAATTTTGTTTTCAAAATTTAATCTTCATTCTAATATTTATTATTATAGATGAACAGCTGTAAGTCTGTCTTTCCTTTGTAGATAATTTGTTGTTTATCTACCCCTATCCATATACAGGCTCACACTTATTCACTCCTTCTCCGATCTAGTCCTTGTAGTCCTTGTAAAGGTTTTTTTTTTTTTTTTTCCCCTTGAGTTTTGAGATTCTGGTGTTGGGGTTTTTTTTTTTTTTTTTCCCCTTGAGTTTTGAGATTCTGGTGTTGGGGTTTTTTTCTGTGTTTTTCTTCTTTCTCTCTCCCACCCAAGGCTATTGGATGAGTCCTTCTGAGAAATTGGCTGGGGAAATTTTCTTATATATTTTTAAAATTAATGCTTTTTCTCCCATCATCTTTGCTCTATCTTTCTGGAAGTACTAATAAATGCATATTAGATTTTCTAGAATCAATTGTTCATGTGTCTTTTTTTTCTTATAACTTACATTTATTTACTACCTTTTCCTAAAATGTAAAGAATTTCCAGGTTAATTTAGTTTTCAGCACTTTCTTTTCTTCCTTTTGGTGTATCTGTACAGCTTTTTGGGACACATGATTTTTTATTTCCAAGTCTTTCTTGTTCTTGAACTATTCTTTTTTTTTTTTCTGTAAGAGAGTGTTTTAGCAGTTTAACCTCTTGAATCTCACAACCAGTAGGAATTAATTATTTTTTGAAAAGTTTGTTTCTACTGTTTTCTGTGTTATACTTTGTGTTAGTGCAGAGCATTTGGTCTAACTGGCCATCCTTTTGGAATCTTTTTTGTTATTTAATAATTTTTAATTGTTTACACAAGGTTTTTAAAAGTATTTGTTTCAGTGTAGGTTGATTGTATGGGTCTTCTTTCACCCACTTAGTGGGCTTTTCAGTGTGCCACTTGGCAGTGAGTCGTGCGGTACGTGGGGTGCAAGTCACTGAGCTGTTCCTAATTTTAGATATCTTGTTTAATTTTTCTCCTTTGTAGTCAATGGAAATATTTCAGTCGAAATTAGAAGACGCTGAAAAAGCTGCATCCACGAAAGAAGATTATAGACGGGAGCGGTGGAGGAAACCCACATATTCAGATAAAGCACAAACTTGTCAGGAAAGTAGAAAATCAGACTTAGTAAAATATGATAACAGTTCAAGGGATAGATACGCTACAACAGATACTGCAAAAAATAGCAATAATGATAAATTTATTGGTGATGAAAAGGATAAGAGACCTGGGTCTTTAGAAACATGTGGAAGAGAATCTAACCCAAGGCAAAATCAAGAGTTTTCTTTTGGCAATTTGAGAGCTAAATTCTTAAGACCCTCTGATGATGAAGAGCTGTCATTTCACAGCAAGGGCAGAACATTTGAACCACCTAGTTCATCTTCAGCATTGGTAGCTCAGGGCTCTTTGCGTAGTGGTTTTAGAAAACCCACCGAGAACAGTGAAGAAAGATTAACATCATGGAGTCACTCTGATGGGAGAGGAGGCAAGAAACATTCAAATCAAAAGCCACTGGAAACCAGTACTGATGAATACCAGCGTGTTCCAGAAGATACGAGAGAAAAATCACAAGATGAAGACTTGAGAGGTGACCCTCCAAAAAAAGAACATCTACAGGACACAAAGTCTACATTTGCTGGGTATTTTATCATTTTTTAACCTAATAAGTGAATATTAAGATCCAGAGTTCAAAGAACAGAGCTATATTTTTAGAACATCAGTTATTAGCTATGACTATGGTCTCACATTTCTTAAAATTGATAGAAGGGGTAAGATATGCAGATTTAACAATGCAGTATTGTGTTATGGATTGCATTTTATTTCATAGGTTTTTTTTTTTTTTTTTAAAAGAGCTGAAACAATTCAGTAGCTATATTTGTTCAAAATATGTTGCTTCTTTGCAATTTAAAAAACTGAATGAGTTAATGTTTTAAATGTATGTGCTGCTGGAGATATTTTGTTAGATTTTGTTGCCAATGCTATTACTTTCTAAGGAAATTATCTTCTTGTTGAGTATAATCATGATCATAAATACTGCATATCTACAGGAAGTCTAGGAGACAAAAGGAAAACATGCTGCCACAGCCCACATATAAAGTGACACATACATGCCAGAGATCTTGCAGAGGGGAGCATGAATTATGGTTGTTATTTTGCACAGAGAAAGAAATAATCCACTTTGGGCAATTGACAGATTTTAAAGATAATGTTAGAGTTTTAAATGTAAAATATATGTTGCACTTATGTAGGGCTGGGTCAGAAGATGGGGAAACCCAGGTTGAACGGGACTAAACCTAAGAGAATTTGCTTTAGAAATTTGCTGGTCCTGTTGGAGATAGCCAGAAAAAACAAAACAAAACAAAACAAAACAAAAATAAAAACAAATGTCCAAAGGGTAATAACTTACACTTGAATGATCGTTAAAATATGTTTTAAAATAGCACCAAATGAGTGGGACACTAAAGGAAGAGGTTTTAGGAAATAATAGAAACCCGTGGTTGTAGTAGATAAAAGCACTGTGGTTTGGGGTTGTGAGTCTGATAAATCACTTTTGTTAATGACTCCATCTGAAGCAGTGGATTAGAAAACTCAGTGTGTAATTTTCAGTGGGAGGAAGCTGGCAAAATCTGAACTGAGTGATTAAGCCCCAGTCAAATGGACTCTGGTTCACGTCAGGGCTTTCCTCCCAGGAAATGGAAGGAGAAATCCAATTGTATTGACTAAACAAACATGGCAGGGATTAGTGTCTAAGGCTGTGTGCATATATAATTGTCCAGTCTTCACTCCAGGTACCCTGGGTGGTAGACTGTTTCCAGTTCCCAGTCGCTACAGGAATGAGGCTGTTATTTCCTGATACCATTAGGATTGGATTAGAGTTTGGATGATCTGAAGGCTGCCTTCTGTGATTCTAGCTAAGCAACATGTCTGCAAAGTAATACCACACAATTAGTATTCCAACTGGTTGTCTGATTGCTGCATATTTGTATGTCTTATTTAAGTTGTAAGCTTCTGATAGATACACTATAATATAGGCACTCACTGAAAGCTGTGTATGTACGTGTGTGTGTATATCTATATAATTTTTTGGTTTGAAGACAGCACTCACGAAAAGCTATATATGTATGTGTATATATGTGTGTATATATGTAATTTTTCCTTTGAAGACAGTATTTTCTGTTCGCTGTGTTGATTTGATAGTACAGAGGGTTTGAAGCTTTCTATGAATTCTGCGATGGGCTAGAGAGAGAAAAAAAATCTAGGAATCATCCAAAAAAAAAAAAAAAAAAAAGATTCCTGAGAATGTAGAGTGGTTGTAAAGTAGGAGACCAAGACGACAGGACCTTGAAGAATGCCTAGAAAGATCCAGTGAAAGATTGGTAGAAGTTATTCATTTGTCTGAACATTATCCTGGGAATATGTTGCATTTTTAATAAAATGCTAGAATTCTAGAGAGTTTTAGGACTAATGAATTTTAGAACTAGAAAAAAAAGAAATGATTTAGAACTAGAAGAAATAGACTGAGCCCCTGTATTTTGCAGATGCAGAAACTGAGGGGAACTCAGGTTATGACTTACACAGTGTTTATGTAACTAGGGTTTCCAGATTTCTTTAAAATAAAAAATAAATTCCTTGTAATATTTGGATATATGTATGCAAAAAAAAATTATTTACCTGAAATTCAAATTTAGCCAAGTGTCATGTATTTTATCTAGCAATCCTGTGTGTAACACTTAAGCATTTCCTGGTCTATCACCTTTCGTAAGAGTTGACACTTGACCTTGCTGTGCTTCAGTTTCCTTATCTTAAACCAGGATACCAACGGGATCTATATGGGGTTGTCGTGTGAGTTAATGTGTATGAAAAGCTTAGCATAATATCTGGCACTTAGTAAGGGCTCCATAAATCTTAGCTGTTATTGTTACTATTGATATTATTATGTAATTAGTTATTTGCAGAACTTAGGCTCTGTATTCTGATGTCTATTTAGCTTGCTTTCAGATAAGGTTAAAAATGGAGAACCTTGAATTTGCTTGGAAAGAAAAATCTTTTTCTTTTATACATTGATTATGGAAAAGTTATTGATACGCTCCATGAGAGTAATTTTGTTAGAATACAAGAAAAGTTGATCAGTTTAGAGGCATAGGAGAGAGGAAAAAAGATAAGCTGCAAGAAGGAAGAATTTTCAGTGAGGGACTAGGAAATAACTTTGTGTCTTGTAAAATGGATATTACCATATATCATGGGTCAGTCTACCAGACTGTAAGTTGTTACAAATCATCTTTATCTTATATGAATGGTCATGATTGGAAAAATTAGTTGAATTGGTTTTTACTTACTTATATGTATTGTTTATATATCTTTAACTTTCTTGCTATATACACCAGTATTATTTTTTAGAACATGCCGTTTGTAATCTTAATAAATATATATGTATAAAATTTAAACAATGTAGACAGAAGAGTGTAAAACAAGAATATAAAACATAGATGAGTATAAAATGAAAATGTAAATCTACCTTTCATGTCACTTCTAACCCTAATCCCATTTGCCAGGTTAACAGTGTTAGTAGTGTCTTTCTAAATTTTTTAGTGTATTTGAAAATGTGTAATATATATATTTAACTTAATGTATAAAATTTTATAAAAAACATATAAAAACTTACATATGATGTATTTAGTATATGTGTTAAATAGCTATACAATGCATATACCATTCAAAAATCTTGGGTTTTTTTTCCAATATCTTAAAGATCTTTTTACTTTAGCCCATATGTACCTACATTTTTTATTTTAAAGGCTCTTTAATACTCCATTGTAAAACTTAGGCATAACCTAATATTTTTCACCAGTTTCCTATTGATGGAATTTTAGGTTGTTTCCAGTTTGTTGCTCTAAGAAACAATTCCGCATTTAATTTTTTGTGTGTATCTTTGCATACTATTTAAATATAGCTGTAACATACATTCCAAGGAGTGGAACTGTCAGGTCAAAGAGTACATGCATTTTACTTTTTACATATTTTGCAGTATTAACCAATTTAAACTCTTATAGTCATATATGGGAATGACTTTTCTCCTACTTCCTGCTGATAGCATTATTGAACTTTTAAAATGTTTGCCATATGTGTAATTGAGAAACAGACTATTTCTTTGATTTTTATTTCTTTAAATATGAGTAAAGTTTGCCATACTTTCATGTGTTGTTTATTTGTAGTTTTTTTGTTAACTAGTCATATGTTTCGCCCTCTTTTTGAGTTATTGTTTGTTTGTGAGAGCTCTTTATATTTGTCATGTAATGCAAATAGATTTTTCATCATTTGTAATTTCCTATTTTTCTTTTTTCATTCATTCTTTCTTAAATATGTTCAAATTTGTCACTCTTTCCTTTATTCATTTTAGGCCCTGCGATTATGTTAACTAGCAGAAAAACATCCACTGTAGTGGCCTATGCAATTAAGAACCTTAAACTTTTTATTAGAAATGAAATGTGCTTTTGCATATATTTTTCTTTTGTTAGAAAATATATTGGCTAAGTATTTCCAGGAATTTCAAACTTAGAGTAGTATGTAATGTGAACAAAAATTAATGAGAAGTCTTTAATTTTGATTTTACAAGTTTAATATCAGAAACTAACCCTTTTTATATAATATTTTAACCTTTGGATGTCATTCTTGGCAATTTGTTACTGTAGCCCAGAAGGGCAAGCAAAGGACGCTAGAGTCTGAAGACTTTGAGTATAGTTGTGAGATCTTTAAGCAAGGAAGCAAATATGAGGGCAATTGGTAAGAAAATAATAAGGGGGATCTGTGAACACTGCCGGCACAAGAATAATAAAATCATATGTGGCTTAACAATGGGGATATATTCTGAGAAATTGTTGTTAGGCAGATATATTATTACGTGATTTTGTCATTGTGTGGACAGCATAGTGTGTACCTACACAAACCTAGATGGTATAGCTTAGTACATACCTTCACTATGTAGTACAGCCTATTGCCTCTAGGCTACAAAGTAGAGCATGTTACTGTACTGAGCACTGTTGGCAGTTGTAACACAATGATAAGTATTTGTGTGTCTAAACATGACATAGAATAGGTACAGTAATAATACAGCATTATAATCTTATGGGATCACTGTCGTATGTGGTCTGTCATTGACTGAAATGTCGTTATACTATGCATGACTAATTGCAGGTTTTAAAAATGTTATTGGGCTAGAGCTCTTTTAATTACTTATTTCTCAAAGGTTTTCAACCTCTGTCTCTGTGTGTGTTTCAAAGAGTACATTTTAATGTGAAAATAGGGTTTGCTTTTTGGAAATTAATTATAAAAAGGACTTCAGAAATATAGCAGTAATTCTCGAAATTGAGACATGTTTGGGCTTTTTTTTTTTTTCTTTCTTTTTGCAGGATAATTGCAGGTGTCATGGTGATGTTTCTTTCAAAGCATTTGCTCATCATTATAAATGCTTAGGGAAAGAAAGGAAGAGCCCATTCCCTGATTTTTGCTGTAGAACCGTGTCTTTGCTGTGGTGTTCACAAAATAAAATAGAATAATATTTTCTTCAGTTACTTTGTGCTCAACAACATTCATTTAAATGTCTTTACTTGACAACTATTACTGTTATATTGTGTAGAAGTAA